ATAAAAGGATTTTTTTTTTCAACTTCCACCCAAAATATAGACACAAAACAAACCAAAACAAATACAGGTTGGATTCAGATTCCTGACAGCAGAAACAGAAATCATCTGACATTTTTTTCACTGAGTAATAAATAAATAATATATGATTTTAATTTGAAAACATTGATTTTGCACATCAGCAGTAGTTTTATAGATTAATTAGAATATTCTGTCCCACGGCAGCAGGCAGTCAAAGCATTCCTCCCATGCAGTGTTGTGCCTGAACGCGTTCATTGAACGAAAGTTCATGAACTCGTTCATATTCTGGGCGAACGTGAACTGAACGTACTGCATTATTGCCTGATGAACGTTATTGTGAACTCGTTCATTCTGGTGTCTGTGAACGGCACGCTCTCTCAGTTCAGCTCCGTTCAATCGGTTGCCAGATTTCTATAAAGCCCTCCAGGCGAAACCCCGGCTAAATCACACCGTAAACAGGCCTTAATATGTAGCGGGAAAAACACCCAATCTGGCAACACCAGCTACCAGCGTCGTAGCCTACAGCCGCTTGCGTCATCTAAACAAAATGCAGCGTGGAAGCCACAGCAGCATGGAGGCGACTTAAAACAGGTTTATGACCAGGTGGTCGGTGAGGATGATGGCAACAACTTTGCCCGCCGGCTTTCAGTAAAAAAAATCCGCACTTCAGTAACCTTAAATTCCTCCCTCAGCCTGGTCCCTCAGTTTGTGTTGGTAAAATGTTCTTGAGCGGAGGTCTTCAACAGGGGATCCGCGACCCCTAGGGGGTCTACGGAGGTACTGCATGAGGGTCTGCATGGTTAGTTGATATTTTTATATTCCCCCCCTGCATTTTTTCCCCCCACTAATTGAAATGTCTTTAAATACTCATTAACATGAAATCAACACACTGTAGTAAACAGATAAATGGAGACAAAAGATGTCTTTCAGTCATCAATGCACACATTCAGCGACACACAGGAGCTCTTTCAAGCTGGGCACCGTTTCCTTCACAACACCTGTCCCATCAACCAGGAATCAGAATCAGAAAAACTTTAATAATCCCAGGGAGAAATTAATTTCTTTACATTACTCCATCTGTAATAGAGTGACTATAGGACACAATTTCATACAATATATATAGTTAGGGGGTCCCCGCTCCATCTCGCCATCAGTTTGGGGGTCCTTGGTCTGGAAAACATAGAAGACCCCTGTTCTTGAGGGTTTTACTATCCATGTAACTTGTTTGTTAAACCTGCCTGGTATAATTTTCCAGGATTCCAGTATTCCTTTTTAGTATGTATTGAAATGGAATTTCAAATGGAAAAAATTATTAAAATAAAAAAAAAAACATTTCCACCTTAAAGACTACTTTCCTATTTTTCTTTTAATAATTCCTCATAAAAAAGACCATTCAAGCAGCACATTTTTCCTGATGTTTCTGAGAATATACTGTAGGGGTGAAAGCTGCAGCTGCTACTAGTGTGAAGTGAATGGACAGCAACAAAGCGTTAAAGCAACAATGGGGAAATGCTGTCCCCTCAATGCTAATGTAAACCCTGGTTGGATAAGGATTCAAAACTGGATATGAAGATGAAATCTGACGCACAGTTTCAGAGTTACAACTGATAAAATAATTGCTGTCTGTGGTTCTACAGTAGGCTATGGTGTAATTGAGCAATATATGAAAAAAAAAGAACTATGAACTAGTTCATTTTTTGGAATTGTGAACTATGAACTGAACTAGTTCATTTTAAAATGTGTGAACTGAACTTTGAACTAGTTCATGTAGAAAGAGAACTTTCCCAACATGTTCCATATGCGTTATATGGGGCAACCTTCAGTTATTTTTATTTTTTTTATCAAACTATTTTATTAAGCACCTATGAGAACCTCTCAAGCTCTGATCAATCCATGATCTGATGGCTCGTCTCCAATGGCAACAGCCAATCAGAGAGCTACAGACATCAGGAGGATCATCTTTTAACGAGACATCAATCATTTGTTTATCAGTCTAGCCTTGGATTTAATTTAATCAAGCAAACAAAAAGCCTGGTTTGCATTTTGATAAAAGTTTTGTAAAAGACACAATAGACATATGGGGGAAAAAAAGGTACAAATTTGCATCCAGATGCAGCCTGAGAAATACAGGCCAGGTATGCTGGAGGCTACAGATTAAAATATATTCATTACATCTGGGGACAGATTGAAATATAGCTTCCTACAATGCAAAAAGCATCTAGAAAAATTTAATTAAGTGTAATAATATTTAAATTGAGTAGGTAAATAAGATGATTTGGCAATAGAATAAGTATTTTTACCACTAATATTAGATAATTCGATAACATCCACATGAAATAAGACAAAGCTTTTGTTTTGAATTGTTTTAAATGTTAATCGTCTTGTTCCATCGGCAAAGTGTCTCACTTACCTTCTCAATTCAAGAACAAAATGCACTTAATTTAAGCAAAAATGACTTATTTAAATTTCAATTTTTTGCAGTTTTACAGTAAACGAACAGTCTGGCAAAGGCTGGTCTGTTTTATCTTTTTCTGAATCATTTTGTGGATACATTACATAATACTGTAGTTTATATCAGTAATATGAAAATGTTGAAAAGGTTCTTCACATGAATGGTTTTCACAGAGCGGTTACCAGAATCCTCCTCAGCTTTTATGAGTTATTGCATAAAGTGATAATCTTTCTGGCACTTCTTCTGTTATGATTGCATCTTCATCGTTTTTATCTTAAAAGAAACTGAAACTTTAAACAAGTCGCCTCCTGCTTTTTTTTTTTTTTTATAGAGGATGCACAACAAACGAGGACAAGGAAATGCGTGCAGAAATGTTCAACTGATGCATTTCTTACAAGTTAGCAGCTGTTTGATCTCTATCCTGGAACAGGCAGCAGTTTAAAACCAAAGGTCGGATCATTTCCGGCTCTCAGAGGGAACTCTGGAGGAAACAGGAGTTTCTTAGTGAGATTTTGAAGAATCGGTTGCTCAAACTTCTGGTACTTTCTTGTACTTCCCTCCGTCCATTTTCTGTCACGCTTCTGGGTGGCGAGGGTTGCTGGTGCCTATATCTAGCCTTCTACAAGTGAGAGGAGGGGTCCACCCTGGACAGAGAGGAGGGATCCACCCTGGACAGAGAGGAGGGGTCCACCCTGGACAGAGAGGAGGGGTCCACCCTGGACAGAGAGGAGGGGTCCACCCTGGACAGAGAGGAGGGGTCCACCCTGGACAGAGAGGAGGGGTCCACCCTGGACAGAGAGGAGGGGTCCCACCCTGGACAGAGAGGAGGGGTCCTACCCTGGACAGAGAGGAGGGGTCCACCCTGGACAGAGGAGGATCCACCCTGGACGAGGATCCACCTGGACAGAGAGGAGGGATCCGACCCTGGACAGAGAGGAGGGATCCACCCTGGACAGCGAGGAGGGGTCCACCTGGACAGAGAGGAGGATCACCCTGGACAGAGAGGAGGGGTCCACCCTGGACAGAGAGGAGGGATCCACCTTGGACAGAGAGGAGGGATCCACCCTGGACAGAGAGGAGGGATCCACCCTGGACAGAGAGGAGGGGTCCATCCTGGACAGAGAGGAGGGATCCACCCTGGACAGAGAGGAGGGGTCCACCCTGGACAGAGAGGAGGGGTTCCACCCTGGACAGAGAGGAGGGGTCCACCCTGGACAGAGAGGAGGGGTCCACCCTGGACAGAGAGGAGGGATCCACCCTGGACAGAGAGGAGGGGTTCCACCCTGGACAGAGAGGAGGGGTCCACCCTGGACAGAGAGGAGGGGTCCACCCTGGACAGAGAGGAGGGATCCACCCTGGACAGAGAGGAGGGATCCACCCTGGACAGAGAGGAGGGGTCCACCCTGGACAGAGAGGAGGGGATCCACCCTGGACAGAGAGGAGGGGTCCACCCTGGACAGAGAGGAGGGATCCACCCTGGACAGAGAGGAGGGGTCCACCCTGGACAGAGAGGAGGGATCCACCCTGGACAGAGAGGAGGGGTTCCACCCTGGACAGAGAGGAGGGGTCCACCCTGGACAGAGAGGAGGGATCCACCCTGGACAGAGAGGAGGGGTCCACCCTGGACAGAGAGGAGGGGTCCACCCTGGACAGAGAGGAGGGGTCCACCCTGGACAGAGAGGAGGGGTTCCACCCTGGACAGAGAGGAGGGGTCCACCCTGGACAGAGAGGAGGGATCCACCCTGGACAGAGAGGAGGGGTTCCACCCTGGACAGAGAGGAGGGGTTCCACCCTGGACAGAGAGGAGGGGTCCACCCTGGACAGAGAGGAGGGATCCACCCTGGACAGAGAGGAGGGGTCCACCCTGGACAGAGAGGAGGGGTCCACCCTGGACAGAGAGGAGGGATCCACCCTGGACAGAGAGGAGGGGTCCACCCTGGACAGAGAGGAGGGGTCCACCCTGGACAGAGAGGAGGGGTCCACCCTGGACAGGTCTCCAGTCCATCTCAGGGCAACACAGAGACAAACAACCATTCATTCACACCTAAGGAGGATTTAGAGAAGCCAATGAACCTAACAGTCCTGTTTTTGGACTGTGGGAGGAAGCTGGAGTACCCGGAGAGAATCCCCACATGCCATGTCTTTGTCCAAACACGTCTTCTCCTTTTCTTTTTAGGGCTTTCAGCACAAAATTGCCCAAATATCCAAGGCAGCGCGTTTCACTCTAGTGAGCTTCATGTTCCTCTGCTACTGGTTTGGCTTCCAGATAGACGAGTCCCAGTAGCGCCATCTCACTTCGGAGCTGAGTCCCACCTGGTTTTTAGCGTACAGTGTGAGCAGGTAGAACGCATCAGAGCGTCGGGTCGCACAGTGTGAGAACTTTTAAACCCTGCGGTTCCATCGTACAGTTTGAGCTGTAGCTCCGAGCAACGATTGAGAAATATTGCTCTGTTTATTCCCGACTTTATTGCTTTACTTGTTAGAAGGAGAATCAATCCTTAAATCTTAACTTCTGTTGTTTTCATTTTAGATTCAGCTAGAGCTGGACAAATACCTTCCCCTGGTCAACAGCCCCCTCCTCCCCGCCCCCACCGACGCAGACAAGAAGTACAGACGAGAGAGCGCCTCGGTGGTGGACGAGTACTTCTCAGAGGACAAACCCGCCGCCCCTTACAGCCTCAACATCAACCTCATCCTTCCTAACACCACCCACCTCCGCACAGGCCTCTACAGGCCCAGTAACCCCAAAACGCTGACGCCACAACAGATCAAGACGGAGCCAGGAGTGGAGGTGCCCTGCTCCATTCCAGCCTCCACTCAGGCGCTGCCAGACTTCACCTCCGTCTTCAGCGTGTCTCCTGTAGTCAACAGTGTTTTCATCAAACCAGACATGAGCTCTGGAGGAGGGGTGAGCGTCTCTACAGCAGCTCAGCAGCAGCAGCAGCCTCATTTAGACACAGAGCTGCAGATTGGACCCCCGCCCCCCCAGCAGCAGGTCTACCACATGCCCATCAGCAGCTCAGACCTCACCCTGTCACACAGCAGCACGGGGGCGCAGGGCTCCGCCTGTGGCAGAACCATGCTGAACCTGGGTGCCGCCACTCTGCCCACCAGCAACGGCAGCTACATGATGCACGCCGAGCACCAGCTGCAGCAGCAGCATCACGGCTACTATCAGGTGTCTCCAAACAGCTCTTCCCAGCCTACGGCACCCCACAGCTTGCCCCCCTCACCTCCAAACTCCCAGCCAGGAAGCCCGGATGGCCAACCGGAACTGCTCAGCCTTGGGACGCAGCCGCCGCCGCCGTACCAGCAGCGTCTGGGAGGGATGAAGGTGTCAGGACTGTCTCCGCACGCGCTTCTAATGACGCACGGCCAGGGCGTTCTGACGGGCCCCAAATACAACAGGCGGAACAATCCCGAGCTGGAGAAGAGGAGGATCCACTTCTGTGACTATCCAGGTAGGTTATCTGTGTGCATGACTGCAATTTATTTAACACTGAAGAAGTTTATCATCTAAAATGAATTTAAATCAGTAACTTTAAAAGGTAAATTATAGGGATGCACGATATAATCGGCCCCCTATCGGTATCGGCCTTAAAACTAAATATCGGACATCGGCCACCCCACCGATATTTAACCCGATATTTGATCAGCTTCTGAGTTTCTAAAGTCTAAAAAAATAAAATAAAATACTACTTCTTCTTCTTCCTCAAAAACTTCTTTTTTACAGACTTAAAAACTTCTAAAGACGAGGGAAAAAATATTGATCCATTAAAATATCCCAATATCTTCATATGCTGATATATTGCCATTTAAAAACACCATATCAATCTCTTTTACTAATGAAATATTGCTGTATGTCATCGTTATGCTACGAAATCCCCCCAAAATTCACCAAATGTTGCCATATTTTTATATGTTGATATATTGACGCGGTATCGATCTATTTTACTAACAAAATCTCACAAGAATTTGCAAAATATCACGAGAGTTTGTAACAGAACGATGAAATTTCACCAGATTCTGAAAGTAAAATAGATCGATACCGCGTTTTTAAAAATCTATTTGATATCAGCATATGAAAATATATTTGAGTATATTATTTTTCAAAGTGTCAGAAATGGATAACAAAACTGCTATTTTCAATGACTACTTATTTTTGTCCAGCTTTAACATCGGTATCGATATCGGTTATCGGCTACATGAGTTTTAAAATATCGGCATATCGGATATCGGCCAAAATCCCAATATCGTGCATCCCTAGTAAAATTATAAAGACTCAGAATATAATTTTATTCATTTCTGTTCTGAAACCTGGATTAAAAAGACAATTTTATTGCAGAAGTGGTTCTGCAATAAAATCATTGTATATATGTTTTATATATATTTAAATCTGTATATATTGTATAAATATGTAAATCTGGCTTATAGTCTACTTACTAGCGGTTAACGGTTGATGACTCCCTCCTTAGTGGCCAAAGACGCTGCAGGTGGATAAAGGGTTAAATGTGGGGCTGGATGATATGGTTAAAACTTTTACCGCGTTTAGTTTATAATTTCAGGTCGATAACATAAAATGATTTACTGATATAAATAAAATAAAACCTGCCATGGATGCTAACAGCAGAACGCTGTACAAGCTTTTTTTTTGTCCACGTTTATAAAACTCCTCCAATAAAACATTTTAGACACATAAAAACTACATAAAAGGGAGAAAAGATGTAATGATAGACAGTTATATGAAAATATTAAACAGTTAATATTATTGATATGTAATTAAATCATATTGCAGTCTGTATTGCTGTTGAATTAATGCTCTAGTTTAGTGGAAGGAAGAAATGTGAATAAAGATCAGCGATAGCCGTGACCTGGAGAGGATGGTGAGTTGGCAGCACGGCCCCCCCGCCCCTCATCAGTAGCTTTAGGCCCGACACACACACACACACACACATCCAGGGTATTAACTACAGCTGTCACTTTCTGTTTCAAATTAGAATTCATTGATATTAGCGCTGAAATAATTTATCAGATTAATCGTGATTAATCGATTATTGAAATAGTCGTCAACTAATTTAGTAATGATCGTTAACTGGAGAATAGAGACTCTAAAACATGCATTTAGCTGAAAGATTAACCCACTAAAAGCAGTAATTATACCAAAATTGTAAAAAAAAAAAAAAAAGAAAATAAACATTTTGCATTTAATATACACTGGAAAAATGATCTACAAATCAGTAAACATTTCTTAAATAAAGTGTATTTACCCTTAATTTAAGCTTGTAAATGAGATAGTTTGCCAATGGAATGAGAGTTTTTACTCTTAAAAGAAGATAATTAGATAATATGTACTGGGAATGAGACAATGCAATTCTTATTTTAGGTGTAAATTGTCTCGTTTCATTGGCAAAATGTCTCTTTTACCTCCTCAATCCAAGAAAAAATGCACTTATTTTAAGAAAAAATGGCTTATCTAGAATTAGATTTTTTCCAGTGTAAAAATCCTTTTCATCTGTTCATATGTTCTATCCAGAACTCTTCAAGTGGATTTAGCAAAAAACTCCTTTTAATCAACCCTTTGCTATCTGATTATTAATCAATTAATTTAAAAAATAATCAACAGATGAATAGATTTGCAAAATAATCATTAGTTGCAGCCCTAGTTGATGACCCAGACACAGTTACACATGAGATCAGCAATAACTGCTTTAATATAAAGCCGATTCAGGAAATATTTTACTTCTCCTGGTTATTCCTGACTTTAGAAGCGTCAGAAGGAGAAAAACACTGAACTGTTTCTCAGAGAACAAAAATCTTATCAGATAAAAGCTAAAAGTGTGGAGGGAAGAGGAACAGAATCAATGCTTGTATTTGAGTATCGAGTATTTGGCTTTATTTGAACAAATTTTCATTAAAGTCTTAGATTTGGACAACTTTTATTGTCATTTTGCCTTTCAGTGTATAAAAATAGACATTTTGTTTTGTGCAGCTTTCAGGTCGTAGATAAGCTGCAGCTTAGCAGTGAAATTAGCATTTCCCTTTCATAAAGTGCAGCAGTGATCAAATGCAAACAGCGTAGGAGAAAAACGTGGTGCAAAGAAAAACGCATTGACATGAAAGTTCATAGCATTTCAATACTAATATTAATTGTGCAAAAATTCAGTAGAAAAACAGTTTTTGAGCAGAACATCAGGACAGGAGGACATGATTCTTCCAAGAAGCTTTTAGGTGCTTCACACTTGTCTCTGCTGAGAAGCTTTTTATGCTAATTGATGCTAACTTAATTTTTGAGCTGAATGTGGCTCCTTTACACCAGAGGTAAGGAGTAATCCAGGCTGGTGATGCTTCCTGCAGGAGGGGCTAATGATGTAGAGGAGATGAAGGCCCCTAAAAGCAACACGAGTTTCATCAACACCTGCGGAGCATCACTGGTTGATCGCCTCCATGCCAAGCAGCACCGATGCCGTAATTCATGGAAAAAGAGGCCCGACCGAGAATTAAATGCAAATGATTATGAAAATATAGGCATAAGTCGGGTCAGAATGTCCCAATGTGAGACTTCAGGCTGGACCAGCATATTCTTCATGGACCCTGCAGCCGCGCTGAGCCGCCGCTACGGATCAGCCTTTCAGCTCGGCTGCGTTCCTTCTAGGCGGACGTCTCAAACCCAGGCTGCTGTCACTCAGCATCCTGCATGCAGCAAGATTTAACAGTTTGATAACCAAATAGTTGACAACAGCAAGTTTCTGCACAACCACTCCAGCAAGTTCTTCTTTTTAATTTACAGACAAAGTTGCTGTTGTATAAACAAACTGAAATCCAAAAGCAAAACCACACAGACTCGCTAAGAGCGATTTAGGAAGGATTTTCCCACCAGCAGCAGGCTATTAATAACACAGCAAACACAGAAACCAGGCAAACTATCAGATAAAGGCTGATTTTAAACCCAATCAGCAAAGTTTATATGCAGAAAGTAAACCTGGGTCTTAAATGCTAAATACCTGCATAAGGTAACTAGCAGAAATCATAAGTTTTCTGCATAATTTGCTGCTTTTAGGGATTTTTTTTTAGTGCTAATGGAATAAAAGGTTGACCAACTACAATATAAGCAGTTTGTTTAAGCTCTTGAACGGGACATTTTTCTGCAACAATTTTCTTTTCTCAAGGTAAAATGCCTTCCAGCCTCTAGCCATGATGGTTAAAATAAATAAATATGCTTGTTAAAATTCCTCAAACGTGTTGGAAATGGGATCTATTCTATTTCATTTAAAGGGAAGTCATAGTTTGTTCACACACCGACTGTTAGAGGACAATCAGTCTGTTTCTGCTCCACATCTTGCTTATAGTCTTCTCCAAACTTTCTCCACAGGTTGCACTAAAGTTTACACAAAGAGTTCCCATCTAAAGGCGCACCAAAGGACGCACACAGGTGAGGAAACTCCTCCCAACACTACGAGCAGTCAGACTGACACGGCAGGAAGTTGGTGTATTTATTTGCAATCAGTTCCTCATGCAGCTCGAACCGTTTTTAGAGGAACGGTTGATCTGCTTTTTAAAATCAGATCCATTCTATTCATCTTTCCTTTTTTCCAACCTAACCTCTGTCCTCTCACTATCTTCTTTCCTTCTTCCCTGCTTTCAGTACTTCCTTTCAGAATCTTGCCCCTCTCTTTAAATCTTCCCATCCTGCTTTTTTTTTCTATCCATTCATCCTTCCTCTGTTCTTCCTTCCTTCGTATGATTTTTTTTTATCTATATGTACCTAATGTTTGCAGACAGGGAGCTCTCCTTCACTCCATGATTTTGAGGTCTTAGCAATAATAAAAAGACAGCAGGGAAAGGTGTTTAAGACCTTTCTTTTACCAAGGTAAAAGAGACTTTGCTGCTAAGAAATGCACCATCAAGACATGACATTTAGTTTAGATTAGATTAGATTAGATGCGCTTTATTGATCTCACAGCGGAGAGATTCACTGCTCACATATTGGCATAGTAATTAAAGAAGGTGCAAACAAGGAGGAAAAAGGTGCGTAAAAATAAACAAGCAAGCACTGTCTATACAGTACAGAATTAAGGTGCAAGTGTACATGTATCACACAATGAAAAACAAAATAAAAATAAGAAATAAAAAATGCAAGAGAGTAGCACAGAGATTTGAGGTGTCATATGAACAAATTTTGTTTGGAGACTTGTTTCCAGGTTCAGTTTGCATATGTTTGTTTAGTTTTATCAGTCACAGCACATCACTCCAAGCTGCAGAACAACCCAGAGATGCACTCAGTGACAATGTTTTAAGACTGAACACTTTAGGTTATGTTTCTTGCAGAAACTTTGCACAAATTCAATTCAGTTTATTTATATAACAATAATTTACAACACATGTCAGGTCAAGACACTTTACAATTCAACCAGATCATTCAGTCAAACTGATTCAAAGTTTTAAACAGGAACAGACCAGATGAAGCTACAATGAGGAAAAGCAGAGAGAGCAGAACGTTAGAGATTGAACTAACAGATTCTGCAGAGTGGGAGAATAGAGATAGAATGATGAAAAAGGGGTCCCTATGTCCTCCAGCAGTCTAAGCCTATAGCAGCAGAACTATAGAGATAGCTCAGGATAACCTGAGCCACTCTAACTAGAAGCTTTATCAAAAAGGAAAGTTTTAAGCCTAGCCTTAAAAGTAGACAGGGTGTCTGCCTCAAGGACTAAAACTGGTAGTTGGTTCCACAGGAGAGGAGCCTGAGAACTAAAAGATCTGCCTCCCATTCTACTTTTAGAAATTCTAGGAACCACTAGTAAACCTGCAGATTGAGAGCCAAGTGCTCTGTTAGGAACATAAGGAACAATCAGATCTCTGATATCAGATGGTTGCTTTTATTGTGGTCTTTTTCGCTCCATATGGTACATTCCTTCTGTCCCATCGGTCGCATGGAGCCAGGAAAGGCTCACTCCATCGCATCATAAGACTAGGCTTTAAGCTTATTTATTCATATGCTGCACTTTGGTTACTTAACCAGTTTTGATACGCCCTGAAACAATAATAGATGAGGTGAGGAAAACAGTGCAATTAAGAAGAAAATGACATTCAGCAATTTCTGTATTCTGTCTTAAGATCTTTGGCACATGCTCATACTTGTCTGCTAAACTTCCCAAGAGAGGAAGAACAAAGGAGGGAGGAGAGCAGAATGAAGAAAAGAGGATAAAAAGAGGGAAGACACACGATTAAACGAAGAGCAAACCAGTTTCTCCAGCTTTTCAGTTCCTTTTCAGCTGAAGCAGATCGGTAAAAGGGGCTTTGCAGAATGGGGGCAGGCTGGTTTCCACGTTTGTAACGTGAAACCCGGCGATTCCCAGCGGCTTTGGCTGAACCGGTGTTTTAGAGATTTACTCATGCGATTAAAAAGCTGTGCAGCGCCTTCAGCATCCAGGTTTTAAACCCTGGAGCGAATGGACGAGCAAACAGGAACGCTCCATAAACAGATAAAAGGAGAGAATATTGGGGAGTTCTTAGAACAGCAGCATACAGCAATACAATGCAGGCAGATGGGAAGATATATCATGAGAATAGTAAACAAAGACCAATACAAATGCCTCAGAAAGGAAAGAATAAACCACTGTATAGATAATAACAGGTCTCTGGAGGATCTTGTAAAAAATAGCATTTGAAGCAGCTGCATGATAAGCCCATAATTTACCATTTTTAAGCCCAAAAATGTTGAAACCTACTGAAGAGGCACCGTTTAATCAGCAGCCTCCACAGTTACGCATATTTCTGTATATTTGTCATCTCTCATTAGACCTGTTTCAGAGGTACAGCTACACTGAAAAAAAATCTAAATCTAGATAAGTCATTTCTTTCTTAAAATAAGTGCATTTCTTCTTGGATTGAGGAGGTAAAAGAGACATTTTGCCAACGGAACAAGACAATTTCCACTTAAAATAAGAAAAAACAAATGCATTGTCTTATTTCAAGTGCATATTATCTAATTTTCTCATTTTAAGAGTAAAATACTCATTCTATTGGCAAACTATGTTATTTTCCTGCTCAAATTAAGGTTAAATACGCTTAATTTAAGAAATTTGTACTTATTTTTAGATTGTTTTTCCAGTGTATCAGTCCCCACCTTCAAGTCTGTAGCTCGTTCAGGCATTAAAAGGAAAATATGACATTAAATGACAGTTTGTTATAAAAATATCTAAATCATAGCAGCATATATCTGTCTCCTACCCTCAGATAGCAGCACTTTTCCAAATGTTTCTGATTGTAGCTCAGTTTCTCTAATTTTTTGTTTTTTCTGCTGAATTTCCCATTTTGGTTTCTTATTGCTTCCATTGTTCTGCTCCACCCACTGAGGTTTTTTTCTTTCTTTTACCTCCTGTTTATCTCTAAACATCTTCTGCTCTGTGAGTTTTCCATCCGTTTATGTTCTGTGGACAAAGATCGATTATCTTGCTGATAAGATCAGCTTTAGTCTGCATCGGTTAGCTGGAATGTTAAGGATATTACACCACATTTTCAATGTCGCTTTTTCTGTTTTTCCTACTAGTAAGAACCAGAAATGTGGGACCTTAACATCTGACCAATAATCAAATCCGATCATTTCTCTCCTACATTGTCTACCAAACTACTCGATTTGTGTTTGTTTCTTTGTAAATGGAAAACGATTTTTCCCTCCAGAGTTAGTTTTCTTAAGTTGTTTAGTTTTTCTTTTTCTGTTGAAATACTTGCTGCTTTCATGCTTAAGGGAGATTTAACAAAAAATACAGATTGCATCATCTGCGGGTTACCAGTCTGACGAGGACCTGAGGATTATTATCTTTGCTTCTAGACATTTATGTGTTGATTTTGTTTTGTTAAAGTAGGTAAATGCTTGTTGGTATCTACAGTTAGCAGCACGAGGTTTCTTTTGTCCCAGGAACGCAAGATTTTTAGACATTTCAAACTTTTTGATCAAAGCTTTTATTAGAAGCTTAAAACTATCCTTGCAGTTTGTTCAGAAACCTTAATAAATTATCTGTAATAAAATGCAGGAACATTGACACTTGCTAATATGTGCATGGAATCACCCTGCAGCAGGTCAGCAGCTCTTTACCAATTCCTAGATTTAGAACATTGATACAAAACAAATAAAGCAAGCATCAGCCAACCAATCACAGGCAGGGAGCAGAAAGGAAAACTCATGAATACATAACAGTTTTATTTTATCAATATGGCTGCTGGGTCAATCTTGAATCAATGCATTCAATGGATCAGTGGCAGCAGCCAGTGTGATTTCAGAGATCTGATCAGGATTCAAACGCCTCGCTTTGAAGATTTGTGTGCACCAGTCACACAAACAAACATACTGTTTGTGCACTACTATTTTATGCCTCCTGCTCATCAGTAAACGTGCAAATCAATAACTTAGTTATCTCAAAAAGACAATAAGACCTACTTATAGTAGAGGCCTCAGTTGAATCTTGGGTAATCCTGCTGAACTGATATGAAAAATGTTTTATTTCTTTACTCATTAAGTAATAGAGATCTAATATAGTCCAGGTTTAAATCCCTGTTTATAAGCAGGGCTTAGCAATGTGTCTTGGTGTTTTTAGAAAAACACCTGAATTATACAGTGGCAGCCATTCAAAATGGCCCTTCCCAGTCAAAGGCCATCCGAATAGCAGCCCACTTCCCTCCAACTTCCAACCTGCATAAAATTGAAGTCCAAATAAGTCATTTTTTCATAAAATAAGTGCATGTTTTCTTGCTGATGAAGGTTCTCAGTCATCCAGGTCATAGTCATTCCGTAAAAATTCAAAAGAATATCCACTGGACTTGGTTTCCAAGATTTGAAGATGTTTCTCCACCTCTCCAGGAAGCTTTCTCAATTCAAATGTCTGGATCCGCAGTGAGTTTGAGTCTTTATATAGACAAGGCCTTGTATCGCTTGGAAACATGCAAATCAAATCAAAAACATGCATGTTTTCTTGAATTCAGGAGGAAAGTGAGACATTTTGCCAATGGAATGAGACAATTTACATTTAAAATAAGAAAAAATAACAATTGCACTGTCTTATTTAAGTGCATATTATCTAATTATCTTATTCTAATAGTTAAAATGCTCATTCTCATTTATCTACTCAAATTAAGGGTAAATGCACTTAATTTAATACATTTTTACTTATTTTCTCTTGCCTATTTTTACTCCATCCTTTTACTGAATTCTCTTTAGATCTTAATGTCCACAAATCATGACAAAAGGAATATTTTAGAACAGAGATTAATGTTTAAAAAGTAATTAAAGGAGATCAGCAAAGGACCCATCTAGGAAAGTGGGGGAATTTTGAATAGCTGCTACTCTGTTAATAATTATATTTGTAATTTACTCATTCCTACAAGTTCAGATGTTGATAACGTCCACCATCAACCATCTGGGTTAACAGTAGAAA